TGCCGCCGCGCTCCTGCCTCAGTTTCCCCCCATGGCCTGGGCCCGGTGGGCGGGTCCCCGGGGGGGCCATGGGGGGTGCTGGGCTGGGGGGTGGGATCCCCGCTTGTGCCCAACCCCAAACCCCAAGGGCAGTGTCCCCCCACCAGGACCCGGCTGGGCCAGGCACGGGCACAGCTGGCACCGGGGGCCTGTTAGCTGGGGGGGGCACCAGGACTCCTGGGTTGTCCTCCAGCTCGGGGCAGGGGGGCGCCCGGACTCCTGATTTGTCCCCCATCTCTGGGGGCGGGAGGTCCTCCCAAATGCCTGGTTTCTCCCCCAGCTCCAGGTGGGCACCCGGGCTCTCTCGGGGGGGCACCCGGACACCCGGGCTCTCCCCAGCTCCAGCGGCGCCTGGGCTCGGGTCCTCCCCAGCTCTGGGCGGGTGCCCGAGGTTCTTCCAAGCTCTGGGAGGGTACCTGGACTCCTGGGTCCTCGCCCAGCGTGGCCCCAACTGGCTGGCAGGGGGCCAGGGCAGGCATGCCTGAACGGTGCCCGGCCCTACCCACTGCGCTTGCACGCTGGCACCTCTGGATCCAGCTGCCAACACCCCCCAGTGCCGCCCAGGCCTAGCCCAGGGGCTCCCCCTGCAGGTGGGGGGGGATGGGGGGCAGCAGGGGCCCTTTAAGAGCTGCTGGCAGCTCTCCTCCAATCACTGGGCTCCCTGTTAGCAAGACCTGCTGGGAGTTGTAGTTCAGAGTTGTAGGCCAGGCCCCAGTGCATGCTGGGAAGGGCAGCAGGGGTATAAAAGGGCAGCTCCAGGGGGCAGGGGCAGTGCTGGGTGGGGACAGGAGGGGGGCCTGGATCTCCCTGCAGCAGGGGCCTCCCCATCTGCCCCTTGGTAGGGTAGGAGCTGCAGGAAAGTCCCTGTGGGGTCTGGGGTGCCATACCCCCAGTGGCACTGTTGTCCTGCTGGGGTTGCCCAGCCCAGCAGCTGCCCCGCCACCCCGGGGTGCCCATCGCCCAGGCCAGACTCCCCAGTGACAGGTTGTCGTGGAGGGGGGAAGCCCCAGCCCCACCTGCTTGTTCCCCTTTGACTCAGCCGGGCTTCTGGTGCAGGGCAAACCCCAGCCCAGCTCACCCCCCATGTGTGTCCCTGCTCCCCTCCACAGGCCTCTCAGAGAGAGAAACTGAGGTATGCCCCAGTGGCTGCTGGAAAGCTTGTGGGGGGTAGAGAACCCAGGCATCCTGCTGGGAAATCTCTCCCCTCCCCTGCAGCCTCTGGCAGGATGAGACCTCCCTGCCCCCCCATCTGCCAGTGGGGCCCTGTGGGTGCTGCAGCATTGGGGGCAGATCCTGCTCCCCTGTGCCGGGCTCGTGGCATCCTGCCTACCCTCCCTTCCTGCCGTGCATGGGACTGGGAAATGCCGGGTGCTGAGCACCCACATTGCAGCCACCAACCCCCACACCCTGTGAGTCACCAGCAAACCTGAGGTGGGGGCTGTCATGTGACCCCATGATCCCTGCCCCCTCCAGCTAGGGACTTCCCCCCGCCCCCCCAATCTGAATGGGAACTGAAACCAGTTACATCACAACTGGGAAGGGGGCGGGTGTCACGGCCGCATCCAGGATCCCCAGCCAGGACCGGGCAGGATTTGACCCCGGGGGTCTCAGCTGGCAGCAATAGAGCTTTTATTTCCCCCTGCCCCCTGCTCTCCCCGCCCCTGTTCGTCAGCAGCAAGCGATGCTGGGAAACCCCGCAAGGGATGCTGGGATAGCCCCTCCCTTCCCGGGAGCCAAACCTGGGGCCTCACAGGGCTGGGGGGGGGGGGCCCGGGCTCGGGTCGAGCCC